GTTCCAATTTTACAAAACGAGTATAAGACCTGTCTTGGAGTATGCTTGCCCAGTGTTCCACAATAGTCGGACATTGTATTTTTCAGATGACATAGTGTCAGTCCAAAAGCAAGCATTAAAAATAATCCTGCCTCATCAAGAATATGAAAAAGCTCTGCTGTTTACTAATTTACAGTGCCCTAGCGAAAGGAGGAATGATATAACAACAGCGTTGCTTCAGAAGATAGTAGCAGATTCCTCACATATGCTTCATGACCTTTTGCCTCCTCGTTTAGAACGTTGAACTATGGAACATAGGACTCAATCTTCATTTAATACTAACTTTAATACCAAACGTTTTAGAAATAATTTTATAACTTATAACTCATTGAAGATGTAATTTAGTTAATTTATTTTTGTATGTATTACATGTAATCTTAAACGTATTTCAGCAATATGGCTGCCAGTTTTAAGAAATAAACTATCTATTTATCTATTTATCTATTTATAATATGTCACTTACGATCCTCGACTAGCGGTTGGAATTCTCCATACATTTTTGAAATGTTTGGTGTGCAATAGTCTAAGGTTGTAAAATGCGACATCACGAAATGCAACAATCACTTATAAAATTGTCATGATTCTTAGCATGTGCAAGCTGTCAGGTTTGCCACATATTTCGAAGTTGGTAGGTAATTCATACCGTAAAATAGGTCTTTCAATTTGTTTGATAAGAAAAACTTACTCACAAAACATTCATAAATTTTGCAATAATTCCAATAAACACCATATAAACAAGAGAAACTGGGTCTTTGATTGCTTTGACTAGTTGCAAGTTTTCAGTCAAACAAACAACCAAAAGCTGAAATTTAGCAATCCGTGCTTTAGTATTTTTTATTATGCAAAAGGCTCCTCATCTGATGCTGTATCATTATAATGAAATTCTACAATGTCGCAGGGAAGTTTTGTGTAATAACTACGTTTATTTTACGAGTAATGAAATTTATGCTCAAAAAAAACGGAGAAGTAAAAATCATATACTTAATATTTTCGAGCACTTGATTGGACATTCAATTTCGTCACTTGTGAAAAACGTCGTATCTGCATTCTGATTGATATACCCTTTTTTCACTTGTGACAAAAAGCATATCAGGTTTTATGACAAATGGTCAACAGCATTAAAATTAAAGAAATGAAAAACAATCTATCTGATTTTATTCATCAATGGCTTTGCAATTGCCTAAAAATTATAAAGACACGAGGATATTGGATTTTTTCAATAATAATATACATAGAAAAATTCTTAATTCTGATTGGTTAAGAGCAGTGCAGTTTATCGTAAATACAAGTTTCAAAAAGCGAAACACCTGTGCAAAAAGCGAAAACCGATGCAATTTATTTTCGAAAAATGTGCTCTTTATTGATTAGTCAAACAAAGAAGAGATCTAATAGCCAATCAAAATAAAACATTTGAAAATCGGGAAAGTTAAAGCAGTGTAAACAAAGCAATTATAACGGCTGGCGTAAGTTTTAAGTAAACTTTTTTAGTGAATTGGTTTGAAGTTCACCGTTTTAAAGATGTTTCTGCTTACAAATATGACACTGCTAAAAGTAGATTCCTTGTTCTATCGGTGTGTGTGGAAGCTATGGTTTTGTGAAATCAAAACTCCGACGGAATTGAAATATACGAGCTGGTTGATATGAATATCTTGCTGAAAGAAATGTACGTACACTGAAGTTAAAAGTCAACAGAATTGAGAAATTTTCTCATGTATATTATGAAGCATTTGTATATTATAATCAAGCTCAAAACTTTTTGTGCACACCGAACTCGTAGGTAGAGGTTTATACAAAAGGACAGAGGTCCAATATTTCTTAGTAAAGACCAAGGAAGCAAGGTTACTAAAAGGATTATGATAGGGCATTGTATCACCTAAAACGAAGTTGTTTTATTTTTGGTCTTTGCTGTTTTTAGACGGTTTGACTTTCGCTTTTCTACATTTTGTCAGTAAAAAAGAAATCGTTTCAAATTGTATCGTTTGGATAGTGAAACTGTTTTTCGAGTGTTTTTTAATCGACTCACGTACATTCGCAAATCATTTTTGTTTTGTTCTTTTTTTTTGGCGTTTTGCTGCTTGATTTTCGAAATTTGTTTACATTTCACAGTAAAATTTCGCGTTTCGCAGAGTGGTTTTAAACCGTGGTCGATTTATTGAGTTCTATTAAATTACCTGGAGGGGGAAAAAGGGATCTGGACACGTGTATGAAAATGTGGCGGCGAATAGTAAATTTTGGATGAAAAACTTCCACTTGAAAAATTATTTTTATTATTCACTGCCTCCTGACCACCACGCTTAGCTTGAATTGAGTACTTACAAACTTGGTGGTCAACTTCTTTTTATTTGGAAATGAGGCTGTGAGGTACTTGTTCAGTTTATCAAACCAGTGCGAAATTGCGGATTTGATGGACACGCATTCATACGAGAAAAAAGGTAATGACTCTTTTCAGTTTAGATAATTTTTGGCTTGGTTTGTCCAATTGTGGTCGCTCATTACATGACAGTCGTGTCGGCTACTTTTTTGTTCAGCCATCTAGATTATAGGATGAATTACCTTTATTTTTGCTGAGAAATGCTGCATGTAATTAATAACTACCTGGATGTTTTCCCATTATATTACTATGCAGATTTTTACTATACCTAAAGTGTAGGTTATTTGTTTATTAGTCTTGTGTTACATAAATTGTTGAAAACCATAATAATTGAAAATAAAGGATTTATTACACGTTTCATTGAATTTGGTTTTGTATTTTTTCTTTGATACAGGACTACGCATTTTACTATTTTAATATACCTAAAAACAAATTAAGTTGTTCATAACGAAGGTATCTAATTGCCATGGCGTAGCTAATTGTAAATTCCAAACCCCTGATGGATGTTGAATTTCATAATGAAGAGGATTTGCTTTTCCTGTGATTAAAATAAAGTTATGGCAATTGTTCATGGCAATGAATTTTAAAGAAGCAAGTAAAAAAGATGTGCATAAACCTTTTTTTTGCAATTCTGATTTTGTTGCTCTGAAAGAAAATCAGACATTTATTGAAAACTCATGGCTTACAAACTAATGAATTTGAATTTTTTTCAATCACAGTACACTTACTACTTTCTTCATCAGTCGTTAATAAATCTGAAATAACAAAAAATTGGCTTATCAATAACAATTACTACAATATATGATGAGAAACTCATTTAATTATTGAAAACAAACAGTACCACTTCCACTTCAAATCACTTCTTAATCTGCATGAAAGAGAAACAACGAAACAATTCAATGTGAAAATTTCATACTTGAAATGTGTATGATGCCTTTAAATGCTCACTATATTTTTATGTAAACTGTGATTGACTTCGTATCTTACCAATAATTTCTTTATGGCTTTCCACTATAACAAACTAAATATAATGTTTTTTCATTGTAATTGAAAATATTATTCATTTCTGCAAACAAGCTGTATATTTTATTTCTATTTTTAAGATACAAACTTTACATACCCATTTCTCTTTCGTAGTTATTCCTTATACGAACAAATATAGTTAAGTTTATAATTTTAATTGCTATAGTACGATGGTAAAATTGCAAGTCATCTTAAAATATCACGTCAGCGCTTACTTCTTCCTTTTCCGTCCTTTGCTTGATATTTTCTATTCGTTGTTTTGCTTTTTGTTCTTGGTTGAAAAAAAAACACAACAAATGTTTTCCACGAATAAAAAAACGTTGTAAGCGTTTAGCAAATGTTCGTTTCAAAATAATTTCTCAAAAAATTGAACAAGGAAAATGAGAATAGTTTTTTTGTGAAAAGCAATTTGAAAAATATGAACTTACCCAGTGCAACAAAAACATTATCGTCATTGTTTTAACGGATAACAAATTTAACGCTGAAGATAAAACGCCGTAAATGCGTACAAAATAATCGTTTTAAAATTATTCCTTTAAAAAAAAGAAGACGATGACAGTTTTTGTGCAAAAAAATGGCAACAATGAGCTTACCTAGTGTTAGAGAAGAACACAATGAAAGAAATGTAGATCTTTAAAGTTTTTCCACCTCCAAAACAAACTTATTGTGCGTGGCTGCTTTTCGTGTGAAGCACATGCTACAGATAAAAGCACATAAATAAGTGGGTAAAGTGTTTCTGTTAGTTCAAACTAAAACAATGATAAAAAACATACAGTATCTAGGTCATCTTGATTGTATTCTGCATAACACAAGCTTGTGATAGATTTCTTTTAAATAAACCATCAAAAAATCCTCATAATTATGTTATGATTATCATCAGGCAACGAAAGACAAGGAGTCTTTTGACTGGTTTAGTATTACTATTTCTCAGCCAACCACAGACATTGCGTCTTGTAAAAGGCTTCGTATTTATTATATAATTAGACACCAAGACACAATATTAAATTTAAAGTTAGATTTTTCAATTTAATCTTTCGTCTTGGAACAGGCATAAATTCTCATTTATTGGACTAAAACTTCGAAAGCACAAAAATGTGCCCAGTAACTCCCATACAACATATATCACAACAGATATATTGTAAATAAATATAATAGCTCTATAGATTTCTAAATAACACCAGTTTACTAAGCTTTCTGCAAATCTTTGTACCTTGATTTTTTATTGTCTATTTTGTTAACAAATACAATATAACATAAAGTATTTCATTTGTAAAGTTAATGTTATTTCAGTGCTTTAGTTATAGCTCAGTGGACACGTGACAATCGTACGATCTTACATACTTCCTGCACATATATATTTTGTTGTTGTAAAATCAATACTATTCTTTGAATAAAGTTAAAAATCTAACAGGTTATGGGCCCAGCAAGCCCAGAAGTAGCCCAGATAGCCCAAGGAATAGCCCAGAAATAGCTCAGCAATAGTACAGAAATAGTACAAGACCGTATTTATGGATAGTCAAACAGTAAAGTGGCTTGTATTCGATGGAACAGCCGAGAACTATCCGGCATGGAGCACAAATTTACTGCATATATGCAAACGAAAGGTTTGTACAAAGCTGTCATTGGGAGAGACGTCATACCTCAAGAGGTTACACAGTTAACAGTCGACGCTACAAGTGAGCAAAGGGCTGAATGGGAAACAAAAGTACGATAGAGAAATCAGCGATTTGATGAAATCAAGGAAAGAAACAACACGGTATGGTGTCATATTGCATTAGCTCTTGACAACCACAGACTTTTATACATACGACATGACTGCTTGTCGCCAGATGGTATCGGAGACGGTGCAAAAGCATGGCGTCTACTGCAACAAAGATTTTCTAACGTAGAAAAAGCAACTGTAGTAAGTTTAGTTCGACAAATATCTCGATTACAATTAGGTGAAAGTGAAAACTTATCCGAATACTTCATACGATCACAAGAATTAATGTCTCGACTCACTGAAGCCGGAGAAAATATATCCGAAACACTATTTAATGCTCTAGTCATTAATGGACTTCCAGAAAAATTTGAACACTTCGTGGTTCAAGAAAGTTTCAACCCAACAGCTAACTTCTCAAAACTGAGAACTCGACTACAGAATTACGAGGATAGCTGGATCCAAAGAAACCAAGGAGAATATAGCGCAAAAGCAATGCATTCTGGAAATGCATCAGGCAAAAACAAAGCCCCAATCAAGCAAAAAGGAACTTGTTATGTTTGTGGACTCCCTGGTCATTTTGCCAAGCAATGTAGTAAAAGAAGTTCAGCTTTCTGTTCAAAGTGCAAGAAAAAGGGACATCTATCAAGAGCATGTAGGAGTCAGAGTAAAACCGAAGAACCTTCAACAAGACGACCAAATTCATTCTCATCATCTCTCAATGCATGAACAGTGGCACTGGAATAAATAGTAACAGTAGAAGATTGAATTATATCATCATTGATACCGGTTGCACAGATCACATCATTACTAAAAAGGAACTATTCGACAACTTAAAACCTTGCAATACCAAAAATGTTAAAGATCCAAAGGGAAAACACCTATCGAATGTATTGGTGACGTACCAGTAAAGCTTCTATTGAAAGATGGAGAAGAAGTAGAGATGGTACTGCGAAATGTCCTTTATGTGCCAAATTAGGAAGTCAACCTACTCTCTGTCAACCGAGCTGTCAAATTTGGACATAATTTCATATTCAAAGAGTGTGAAGCAAAGTTGATGTTAAATCATGGTCCAGCAATTGCTCTAAACAAAAATGCAGGTTTATTTTATCTGGAGATCATATCCCAAAGATCCAGCTCCTGTAATTCCATTACAAGCAACCAGAATAAAAGAGAAATCAAAGGAGATATTCAACTGTGGCATCAACGCCTTGGACATTTGAACAAAGATGATGTCAAACGCACAGTTAACTGCGAAGACAAATTAAAGAAAATGTGTGAAACATGCGCACTTGGAAAGCAATCATGCAAGCCTGTACCTAAAGAAGCGCACAATAAGTCCCAGAAACCACGCGAATTGGTATACACAGATATTCTTGGTCCATTTGAAGTGCCTAGCCTCAGTGGATGCAGATATGCAATTACCTTTGTAGACGAATACTCGAAGTATGCAGTTGTTAAATTCATGAGCAAGAAAGCACAAGCATTCGAAAAATTTAAAGAGTACGTAGCAGAATCAGGATTACCTCGAAAATTCAGAAGCGATAATGGAGCAGAGTATACATCGAAGCAATTCAAAGCTTACTGCATATAATCAAAAATAAAGCAGGAATTTACAGTACCCGAAACCCCGCAACAAAATGGAGTTGCCGAACGCTATAATCGAACTCTAGTTGAAATGGGACGATGTCTATTAATCCAAGCACAGTTACCAAAACGTTATTGGGTAAGAGCCTTATCCACAGCATTTCATATCAGAAATCTCACCGTTACTGCCAACAGCGAGCAAGGTAAAAGTCCTTTCGAGCTATTCACAGAAAAAACGCCAAGATTAAATCATCTACGCTCTTTTGGCTGCACAGCATACGTCATGAAAAGGAAGATCAACCTAACGAAATTGGATTCAAGATCTGTAAAAGCAAAATTTATTGGTTATGATGACAAAAGCACGGCTTACATCCTGCAAGAATTCGAATCAATGAAAGTCATCAAAGCACGCAATGTTGTCTTTAAAGAAAGTGAAATTCAAACTTTTTCAGCAAAAGATACGATAAATCCAGAACAACCAAATCTCATGAGCCCCAACATGGATTTCGACGATGATCGTTCGAAAGATGAGAAAACAAAAGAACCGATTCAAGATGAAGTGGGGGAAAATAATGCACCGATACCTGCTGTTCAACATCAGCAAGAAGATCAAGAAAATCAGAGGAAGAAATCAGGCTTCCTAGAGAAAGCAGAAATCGGCGGCCACCATGAAAGGTATGGATTATACTATACGTTCAACACAACTAATGAAGAAAGTGTACAAGAACCCAAGTCTTATCGTGAAGCAGTTAATACACCGCACGCTGAAAACTGGAGAAAAGCGATGAAAGCCGAATATGATTCACTAGTGGACAATAACACATGGACAATAGTGAACGAACCAGAGAATGTGCAAGTCTTACCAGGAAAATGTGTGTATAAAGTAAAGTATGGAGCAGATGGTCAAATCGACAAATACGAAGCAAGATATGTAGCCAAGGGTTATGCTCAAGTCGAAGGCTTAGACTTTTTCGATACTTACGCTTTAACATGTAAACCCGAAACTTTTCGAATCCCCGCTCGCAAAGACAGCACAAAATTGTCCACATATTGGCCAGATGGATGTTAAATCAGCATACCTTCACTCCAACATAGAAGAAGAAATTTATCTAGAACAACCAGAAGGTTTTACCAAGAAAGCAAAATCAGGACGAAAGCAAGTTTGCAAGCTAAACAAATCAATCTATGGATTGTAACAAGCGGCAAAGAATTGGTCTTATTAAAGAAAAATTCAAACGTAGCTGCAGCGATTATTGTTTATTTGTGAGAAAAGAAGAAGATGGAACATCCTCATACGTATTAGTTTGGGTAGACGATATTATAGTGGCTGGTACGAGTGAAAAAGCAGTTAATCATATCAAAGCAACGTTGAGCAAAAATTTCAAGATGGACGACCGTGGCACACTGCACTGGTTCTTTGGAATGCGAATTCTACGATCTCACGACAAGATTACCGTTGACCAAAAGAAATACATCGAATCTGTTCTTCAACAATTCAATATGAGTGATTGTAAAGCAGCAGCAACGCCTTTAGAAGTAAATCTGAAGCTAATCAAGAGCAACGACGATCAGAAGTTAGTCGATGCAAAGTTATATAGAAGTTCAGTTGGATCATTACTATTTATTGGTAAACAAACCCGTCCAGATATCCTTCACATTGTTAATCAGCTATCAAGATTCCTAGATAAACCAGACATATCACATTGGAAAGCAGCAAAGCACGTATTAAGATATCTTAAAGAAATATCGATTTACAATTAACATTCTTGAAGAATTCCAATCTCGATATCGTTAATGATTCAGACGCAGATTGGAGTGGTGATCTCAATGATCGCAAATCAACTACAGGATATTACTTCAAATTTGAAGGGAACGGAGGTGCAATCAGCTGGGAATTGAAGAAACAGGCAACTGTAGCACTTTCGTCAACCGAAGCTGAATATCAAGCTATGGCGGCAGCTGTACAAGAAGCAATATACCTACGAGCACTAATGAAAGATTTAGGTTATCCAATGAAGAAACCAACCAACATTGGGAAGATAACCAATCTTGTATAAAGATGTGTCACAATCCCGTAATGCATAAACGTTCAAAGCACATCGATACGAAACTACATTTCATTCGAGAAAGAGTACAAATTAAGGAAATAAAGATCAGTTACGTTCCAACCGAAGAAATGACAGCAGATATTCTTACAAAGTCATTATCTCGAGTCAAAGTAGAAAAACATCGAGCAACACTTTTAGGGATTTAGTTAACCACATAGCAGACTCATCATAAGCAAGCTGAGTCTGAGTGGGGGTGTTAACATGATACAATATAAAATAAAGTATTTCATTTGTTAAAGTTAATGTTAATTCAGTTCATTAAGTACAGATCAGTGAACACGTGACAATCGTACGATCTTACATACTTCCTGTGCATATATATCTTGTTGTTGTAAAATCAATACTATTCTTTTGAATAAAGTTCATAATCTAACACCACTAGCAGGTTTTTTGAAAAAGCTCCATTACATTTAAAGGAACTCTCTACACAAAGATTATTAGGCTTATTTGAACATAATTTAGAAAGTAACATATCAAAATATTTAAATAATGATTGGAAAAAATGTATGTATTATGATTCTTCCAAATCAATATAAAAATGAGAAAATCTCATCTAGGAAAAAGTCCAATTCGGAAAAACAAAGCAAAAAGCTTATTTATAAATGAAATCCTGATGACTATAGCAGAGGGGGGGATAAATCGCCCAGTATTGAAGCTTAAAAGAGAAATCGGAAATGGCATTTTTTAAAGTAAGTGTGACAATTTAAAAAGTTAAATTAATACTTGTTTGCTGTGGCTGTATTATTCTAAAAATGTTAAGTAATAATTACTATAAACTATCCAAATTTTTAAAAAATTGAAATTAATCAGTTGATGAAATAGTTATTGTAGGCAAAGTTAAAACATTTTATAAAGAAGATAAATTAACTGAAGGAAGTGTTTCCATAAACCGACTGCATATAATTTATGAAAACTATGTAAAAAAGATAATTTCATTTGGTAGATTTTTCTAAAGATAAATTAAATACAACAAATTATTAATCAAGAGTGACTAATCACGAATCCTTTCACTTAAGTAGTAAGGGTATTTAGATTGTTAACTGATTCTCAGCATGACTTAATCTGATATCCTAATCTTCTAAACTAAACCTAGATTTGTTTTGCTTTAAACCTGACGAGTATGTGGACTCTCATAAATGTAAAAACTAACAAATATATTTAAAATGTTATTCTAACTGCAAGAAAGAAAAAACTTTTCTAATCAATGCACAGAATGCAACATGATTTTGAAATGTACAGATTGTTTTTAAAGATAACTGTTAAATATTTTGTTTAAAAATAAGAACACTGTTAAGATCACTCCTTGTAACAAAATTTTTTTGTAATACATGTAATAAAATTGCTATAAGAATTTTCTTCTTTAAAAAAATTTGGTTGTTTTTCATGATTGTCAAAAATATATTGTGCTCATTGTACAAAATATTTGGACAAGAAACATAAATGCCCCATCAAATCTTTAGAATTTAATAAGTATAAGCATACACCAATATTATTTTTCTTTGATTTCGAAACCAAAACTGATGAAAGAAATTTAATGATATTTTATTTCAAATATATAAACCAAAAGTTATTAATATAACATTTAGCAACGACAATATTGACAATACATGAATAATAAAATTCAACAAAAATGTTTATAACAGCATCCATCCAAGTAAATAAATACTTCATTATTCAATTTTTTCTTTAAAGACAAATCGTGTTCCTTTTCTTCATATTTAATTAAATGGAGAGCGCCTCTTCCTTTTTTTCTATAATCATACCATGGGGTTATTCTTAAATCATTGTACTATTGTTCATTAAAATACATCCCATAACCTGAATATAATTATGAATAGAAGATGTCAATTTCTCATTACAGATTATCATATCTTTTAAAAAAATTTGTCCTTTTTATATAGAAATTTTTCCCATTCAGAAAGATATGCTTCTGCTCATTTTAAATTTTTGTCCCATTTTAGAGGTAATAGAAACAGCAAAAGAAACACTCTTAAAATAACTTGTATTAATACAATGGGTAAAATATATGAATTT